ATATGTATATATATATATATATATATATATATATATATATATTTAAATTAATGTATACATTTAGATATTATTATTGTTATTATTTGAAGCTCGTAGCTGTTTTATAAGAAACGCCTCTTTTAAATATATTATTATTATAACGAATAATTAGAGGCTCGTTACTATTAGCAACGCCCAAATGAGAGCTACTTCAAATTTCTCTCCTCCCTAAATCGTACATATATCGTTGATTTATCCGCTCTATCAGAATGATTTCAGCTATATCTGAATAATAATAATAATGCAAGCAAATCAGTTGCCATAGTAACCGAAAGAAACAGACTCTCAACATAACACACCCAATCCAGCTCACCTCATATCGAATTCGTATCCATAATATTATTTTATAAGAAAAGAAAGCATTAAAAATAAATACCGAATTGTTCTGTGAGTATTTCATTACTGTCGAAATGATAAATTCGATTGTGTTGCAAAACATTTTGATTGATGGTCAGTGACACTAATGGTGAATTAAATCTGAATTGTATTTATTTATCTGGCGCTATTACACATTCATTTGCATCTATTTATCTTATCATTCCAGGTCAACATTAAAGTTGACTAGTCTTATGTTCAGTTTCAAAATAAAATACAACCTAAACCTCACACAAACCTATCTAAATTCAATCCGATGTATATATTCTGTACCTCGAAATAAACAACAATCCAAACCCATATAAATCTAACTAAATCCAACCCAAGATGTAATACACCTGCAATTCAAAATGAAGTACAAGCTAGTCCCCATACGAGCATAACTAAATGCAATCCAACATAAAATATTCCTACAATTTAAAGTGAACTATAATCCAAATCCTCCATAAATTTAAACAAATCCGAATAGAAAATGTACTGGTGATCGATGTACCTAACCGTATACAAATAAAAATAATACAAATGAAAATAACAACTCACCGAATATTGATCACTAATGTTTGATATTGATATACAACGTCCAAATAACAGTTAATGATAACATCGTTTATTTAATACCGTTATAAAACTCTAAATAATGTCAATGAATATTTATTATAAACATATTCAATGCCGTATTCTCATCTAAAAAATTTGTTAAATATCCATATGATAACGGCGTAGCTAAGATTTTTTTCCAGAGAGGGACGTAAAATGCTCTGGTGATCGGAAAGAGTTAGATTTTGAGACACATTTTCTGCGTTTTTTCTTTGATCTCTCGCCCCATCCTCTCTTTTTCCTTACCCTTCCTTCTCACTTCTCCCTTTTTTGAAACCTATAGGAGAACGTGGGGAAGGGGCCTGTACATAAATGAATGAATGAGTACGAGGTAATTATTCATACGAACGAAACATATACGCATAAATATATGCACACATATCATTACGGATATAATTTAATGAATAAATGTCGTTAATTGAGTTATTATTCGCCTATCAAAACGAAGCACATAAATAAATGAATACTGCACTTAGTAAACAACAACATTAACAATAAAAATATTAATAAAATTGATATGCGGAATGAGTAACATCAACAAATGAGTATCTAGAACGCAACAAATTTCCAGCAAAATAGACACTTATTATCAATACCAAACACCAATAATATATTTATAATAATAAATACATACCTGCAATAATAATAATACTGTTAAATAAACAATTTTATACACGTTTTATTCTTTTTTTAGCCCTCGGCGAATCCAACGAAGGCCATTCGGAGCGAATATCACATGAAACCTTTTCAAGTTTATAAATGTATTCGTTGATCGCTCCGAATCTTTGTATCAATTTTTTATCAATCTGAAATTAAAACTGATTAAATTAAACTAAAAATTAAAACTGATAACGGCAATGACATAATAATAATAATAATAATAACAATAATAATAATGATGAATGAATTACATTGCCAATAAATGATAAAATAGCAATAATAATGAAGAATAAAATAAACAATAAAACGAACCAATGAAAGCGCCAATAGTAAATCAGAATCCTCTTTCGAAGGGACATTTCGAAATAAAAAAATAGACTCGGGGGGTGATGACGGTGGTGTTGAAAATTGCTCATCACTCTTATTACCATCAGTATCGTCCTCCTCTCCTAATTTCTCAACTGAATAATCCATGTTTAATGCCGCCATCCTGAAACAATACCATCAATTTATTACAATAACAGCATAACCTAAACATAAAATGAGCAAAATCATTATCGTTAAATGTTTTCGGTAACACTCAAACCAAACCCCGCATACACCAAATTCAAAATTCAAATTACTGAATGCCTCTCTTCTCTTATGACATTTACATATTCAACATTACTCCTGAATATAAATCATAACCACCGTTCTTCACAAATTGCAAATTAACTTACAACAAACAACAAAATCTCAAATCATACAAAAAATAACCAACTTTTCAGTAACGTAATCCAGTGAAGTATTTTTCTTATCATCATCACCACCATCATCGCTATTACCAATACTATCGACACCATCAAAACAATCTCCAAACTGATCATCACCTTCATCAAGCGCCTCGTCAAAATTCAACTTTTTTCGAATGCAATTCAACCATGCATCCTTACTTTCATCAATTAATAATTCATTAAATCCCCGCATATTGTTCACTAAATGTTCATTCAACTTTTCCAGTCCTAAAATCTTAAATTATTGTTGTGACAGACAAAAAATCAATCCTGTGACACACATCAATCAACCAACTGCATTAAATCAACTGTTGCTGTTGCTGCTGCTACTGCCTTTATCTCTATTACAAACAACAATAATAATAATAATAACAACAACAAATCAGCAATAGCAATTGAATAGCAGGCATCAAAACATGTGATATTAACGAACACCATATGGCCACTAGATCTAATACAAGTACTAGTAAAAAAATGAACAAAATGAGCATACCGTGATTAGAATCCAGATCCACAAGCACTCCCCCCGCGAAGAGCCATGTTTCTCGCCAACCTATCCCGCGATCCTTGGCCATCACACGTCCAACCCGCTCGTAACCTTTCACTGGATCCTTTAATCCGCTCTCTCTTCCTTCATCCACCCACCTCTTGTAAAATTCATCCGAATCACGAATTGACATTGGTCCTACCGTCATCAATTATCATTATTTCTACCATTCAATATACGAAAAATCAGTACCAATTGATAATTAATTTCATTCGGCATAAAATAACAATAAAAAAATAAAATTGAACCTGCAATTGCAGCCATTCGATAAACGCTTTCAATGGGGGATTGTTGATTTTGTGGCAAAATTTGTGGTGGATTACTATCTATAATAATAATAGTAATAAGCAAAATGAATAATCAGTAAATATGATAACAACCGACCAGGTGGTGTGATTACAGCACAAGTGGAGCAATCGTTAGGTCGATATAAGGCGATGTAAACTTGATTGAATAACGACAGAATGGCATCCTTATTGCCTTTATTAACGTCAGATGCACGTCTACAACACACATCTTGTGCTCGTTCGCCGCACCTTAAATATATACGTTAAACTTTATAAAGTCTTTGTTTCATCAACATACATTCAGCGCACGATTCAATCTCATTTCTCAATACATACAAACTGCTTATTTCTCCTTCATCTCTCACTCAAATTAATCAAACCCGTTAAAGTTTGTTTTGTTAAATGTCACTTTTGCATTTTTCATTATGTCGACTCCAGAAATGACACTCATAATAATAATAATAATAAAATACTAATAATAATAAAATAATAATAATAATAAAGTAAACGTAACGTAACCCAAAGACAGCACATAAATTCATCACCACTACACATAATAATCACAATATCGCATGAACCCTCCCCCATATCATAACATTACAACAATAAAATAAACACAATCGCAATCCTAATCATAATACCATTCATAGTCATAATACCATCGGAATACCAGTACCACTAGTCTAAAACTAACAACAATACAACATCGACTAAACTCTAGTATCATCATCAAAAAACGCAAAACACCTAACACGAGATCAACCTAAGCGACCGACCGCTCAACACTACCGAATCAAATCACAATGAATACTCATTGAGACGCACCCTTATGTAGTTGCAAACACCCGCCAAAAAACAGAAAAAACTGACAAAAAAATGACAGAACGCGGCAAAATACGTCATCATTTGATCTATAAATAATCGATTTCGATCACTATTTTGATCACAAGTGATCAAATTGGCGCGCTTAAAAAACTGAACTAAAAATAATTTTTCATATAATAATNTTAATATGATAATATATATTATAAATAAAATAATAATTCAATGCAATATGAGAATTATAAACATATAATATAATATAAATAATAATAAGCAATAACAATATATAATCTAAACACCAACACAATATACGTCAAAAAATTCATTAATAATATAAGCATATCATTATATAACATTACTTTTTATTACTTTTTACTTTATTACCTTCAAAATATTACTTTTTAATTTATATATTATATATCATCACTTTATATAGTATTACTTTTTATAATATTAGTAAGTATACTGCTACTACTTCTCACTAATTACTTTGCTTACTATTACTATTACTTACTTACTACAACTCATTACTTACTATTATTTTTTACCTACTACTCTCCATACGACTCCAGAAATGACACTGATAATAACAATAATAATAATAATAACAATAATAATAATAATAACAGCAATAATAATAATAACAACAATAACAATAATAATAATAATGAGTAAGAATAAACGGATGAAAAATAACACATGAACATATAAAATTAATATGTAAATAGATCCAAAAAAAAACGCTCACCTATTCAAAACATACTTATCACAGCAGTCTAACCCCAACAGTCGTTCCACAATATCCAAATGACCAAATTTCGACGCAAAATGAAGCGCAGTCTCTTGGGCACCTTTGTCAGGTGTATTCAAAAACGCATCCAAAAGTTTCATGGACCGCAGACGGGCATCTTCTTCATTAGTTCCTTTATTATTATTATTATTATTACTATTACTATTATTATTAATATTACTATTATTATTACTATTATTATTATTACTATTATTATTATTATTATTATTATTACTATTATTTTTACTATCATTACTACAACTACTATTATTATTCTGTACTAATCATTAGTATTACTAACAATTAATGGAAATAAAATATAATTCAAAAGAAAATAACATACCATAAATATGAGCTAATAATTGCAAATCAGAGATAGAGTCGAGAATAAAATTGACAAAAAGTACATTGCCATGTTGTGATGCAATATGTAAAGCGTTGTATCGACATCCCTCAGCGATAATGGCTGGTGTATCACTTGATGTATTTATCAGATAGCGAGGATTCGACTGCACCAACTTAACGAATTCATTTATGTCCTTCAATTAATTATCATTGATTCAAGTATAATAATTACGTGCTTTTGAATGCATCAAATGAATAAAGTGAATGAACAAATAATAAGAATGAAACAAACATTTGCTAAGATAGCTTTCTTCAGATTATTTTGTTGTTTGGCGGAAACAGACGGATAACTGACGGACGGTTCGTTGATGGCATGCTGACGTGCAGATGGCGCACATTCCCCGCCGCCGCATTCGTCAGATTCACTGAGCCCTTTCTCAGCGAATTGTTTCGCTTCGTTCAAACTTTTGAATCGTTTGAAACGTGCACCTGTATTTGTCACTTTCCATCATCATTTATGAACTGATACACCATTCGACTCTACCACCTTTATTCACAACACAACACACTTCATTAAACAATAATAATAATAAGCAAATAATCTAACGAGAATAAGCCAATAAATCAAACGAACCGTAAGACTTTGCCAAAGGAGAAGTAACGAATTGGCAAGCCTCCTTAAGCGATTTAAAAACACGTCCGTTCTTAACCATCTCTCTATCGCCACCACTTGATTGTGATTCCAAGTTCAACGACCCATCAGATTCAATAAACACTCCATAATAATCTTCACTCATCCTGGAATCACTGAATTGATCCTATAAAAAACTGCGAATGAAGCATCATTCATTCCACCACGACCCAATATTTAGTCAAAATCTGGCTTTCCTCAAAACTTATCTATCTTTAAGCGGCTGCAAAACGATCACCTCGAGTGCATTGATTAATTAGGCTGAAGGCAAAGTAAGTTTAATTGCAATTAAAATCAATTACGGCACTCTTCCACTACGAAGTTGTACAAAGTAAAGAAAGATGAAATGAATTAATGAGCAACACACAAGAGCAGCAATTAATGAAGCCGATGACAATCAACTTGTTGATAAGGTACAGCCATATTGATATGGCTAAATCAGTTGGCAACTCGTTTATTAAAACATATCAGCTGATATGAATTAATAAATAAATAATAGTAATGAACACGAAAACATAACAATATTTTATCGTAACTGTAATGATAATTGAGGAAACTAAAAACTGTAAAAATGTGACAACTAATCGACTGCAACAACAATAAATAACAAGCATAATAATCAGTAAATAGAATCACTTCTTCTTTTTATCGCCATCTAGATCCAGATAATCATTATCAGCAATATTCAGCATCAGTCCACCAGATGGAAGATATACCTTTAACGATAGCACACACTTATGAAAAGGACAACGGTACAACTGTGGATAAAAAAACCTCCCTGGGAACTGAGGCAGTCCCGAGCATCAGATTAAGACCACAGATATACATACATGTAGACCTTACCTCTGCCTTCAGGCGATGTACTTCGTTTGAAAGCAGAGGCAAAGCAACTCATCTTGTATGCGTATCCCTGCCTTTTTTCATAAACACATTACGTACCAAATTATCACCTTTGACTATGGGGTTACTTTACATATATGGTAAACAGCGAAACAAATAATAATTACAATAACAACAAAGGGACAAGAATAAATACCCGATTATTTCCAGTCTCAGAAATAATTTTTGATATTCTTTGTGCAGCACGTATCTTCCGTAGTTTTAAGAAACCTGGATCTTGCTTTAAGGCCTCACCGATCTAGATTATGAACAAATCATAACTCAACTGACAGTCACGGTCATAATAATTATGTTAATAATATGGTACTTGTTTACTTTGGGGGGGGGGGGGGTCGCACGCGAGCACGCTCGCGTACAACAACACACGTATTCGCTCACATCCTATGAACGACGCCTTCACATTGACCGAAGCCACGCCTACTGCGCGCAGAGGTTGCGCTTAGGCGAAGACCATGCGCAGTAGGCGTGGCCTCAATTGTTATACGCGAGCGTGCCCGTGTGTGACCACCCCAAAGTAAACAAGTGCCAACAATATTAACAATAATGATAAAAAATCACACGAAACAATAATATCTCAAATAATAATAATAACAATAATAATAATGACCATTTTCGCAGATTTCGCTTCTCCTTCAGCCTGTACGATTTTCTGTTGTCGTTCCTGTTTGGCCTTTTCAACATAAAACGAGGCGCGTTGTGCCTCTTGAGCAGCAACTTGCTTCGCTTCCACTGCAGCGCTATATTGCGATGAGAACGCCAACTCGGTTAACGCAACATCATCCAGAATTATGTTGAAATCCAACGCTCTTTCTGTTTTTTTGAAAAAAATCATCAGCATTAATATTGTTAATTGCTATTACAATTTATAGATCACACCAACATTGTTAATGTTAAGAGAACAAACCGATTAAGCCCTTACGAACCAGCAGAGAAACTTGTTGTCGCTGTGTTATCAGCTGTGATGCATTGAATTTTGCAACCACGCTTTTTAAAACCTGGTATCAAGTCAACAATTAGTGTTTTTATCTGCAGCAACAGCTTGTTCGATACTTAACGATAACAATAACAAATATTCACCTCATTACAAATCGATGGTAGTATCCTTTCTTCCCAGTTTTGACCGAGCATGCGATATATCTTCGGTAATGAATTCGGATCTGGTCTTGAGAGTACGCGAAGACCGATATTAACCATCTGCATTACTGATTAGATCAGTTGAAATAAGGGTTAAATCATGCAACAAACCTGTAAATCTTTACTGCCAGTGGGTGATCTGAGTTGGTTTGGTCTAGCACGAATATCATAAATGATTGGATACTGGAACCAAGGTACTCGAATGTGCAGTCCTTCTTTATAAACGTCACTGCCAACCCCACCAATTCGATTAAACATTATTGCACGATGACCCGCATCCACTAAAGTTTTTATCATTCAATGAAACTAAAAGTAAAACAACAGGCAAATAATAACCTGTAAATAAGGACTGCGCCACGACGTACGCGGACGCGCCTGCCGCAGCAACCAATCCAACTCCGGTAGCTGCACCTTTTGAATGTAACAATTTCTTGATTGCGTCCTGTCCTCTTTGAGCAGCCATCTACAACAATGTAGACCTTCTAATTTAAAAAAAAAACGCAATTCTATTATTAATTAAATTGAACAGAAAATCACACCCACGTTTACACCACACTATGCAACCTTAATTTACTAATACACACAATTAATAGATATAAGTCAAATCGTAGTTTGGCTTAAACCCAGTGCAGGCTGCACACTCTTCGCCATGTCCCAGATGTGTAGCACCTGGACAGCAAACGGTAACTGATAAGTCGCCGTTTCAATTCTCGTCCACTGAAAAAATTTTTACTCGAAACCGAGTGATATAGGTGAGTAATTAACGGCAAATAGCAGATATAAATCATAAACGCGATAACATATAATGCACCAACAACGACCAATCAACAACATTTATCAAGATGTTTATTAAACAAGTGATCACTGCATCTTATTTAAAACCACAGCAACACCTTATCAAGCTTTTGTGAGAATATCCCTCGCATTCTCACACACAATTCCTTCCATATCGTTCACTTCACATTTCCACGCTCCAATTCGATCGCTCATCAGTAATATCTATCATTATTACTATTAGTTCAACGTTTTATTCACAAAATATTTATTTCTTCATATCCATATTCTTAAAATACCACTTCTATGTTACACATTGAAACACTTAATCACAGTTTCATTTTGGCGGCAATTCAAAGTTTGAAAAATAATAGGCCTGCCATCCCATAGCGAAATTTTAAATACGATACAAATTCTGGCTGAGCGCCAATCGAACAGGCACTTCGCAGAAACGAGTCTGCGACATTTGGCTCCTCGACAATTGGCCCCGTGCTAGTCGACCGTACAAAGTCCGCTTCAGTTTGATACCCACCCAGCAGTTCGAATGCATGCTCACCAGTGAATGCGCGAATCGAAATGAAGTTTCGGTAACCGACTAGCACACTACCACCTGTCGCGGGGCCAATTATCGTCACTCGCAAAAACAGCTCACTTTCGAAATTAGAAATAGAACTGTTTGCGTCTAAGAAGCATTTTTCAGAAATTTTTTTTGGTGACGGGATGAAAGAAATGGAATGCACACTAACATGATGTAAGAGACTGACAGAAAAATAACAAAGTTTGAAATAGAAAAAGTGGATGATACCTGTTTGGAGGAGAGTACACGTGGCTGTACCCAAGTGATGTTGACGAGTTGATTGACCTGATCAATGGAACCAATCACGAGTCCTTTACTCAACGCTTTCATCACCAGCAACTCCACTTTGTTCACGTCCGTCAACTGCGCTCTTGCTGCGATCTCTTCGAATTTAATACAGCGCTCTTTGGATGCCCTTCCAAGCGCGATCTGTAATGAAGGCACGATGTAAGAAAAAACAAGAAACTACAACAGCAAAGAACACACCTCCATCAACGACAACAATCGTATTTTATCCTCGAGGAACTGTTGATGTTTCTTGATATCATCCCATTCGTTCCAGTATGTCTTATACTCTCTGAACGCATTCAAATCACCCGAATTGAACGCAAATAAAACATCGATTAGCCACTTTTCATTCGTTCCTTCCAACGATTTCAATATCGGATGCGCTAACTCCAATTCAATTATTAACGTTTTAATCAATCAACCAATCAATAATAATAATAATAATAACATTTAAAACAAAACGTACCAACTCCCCAAAATTATAAATATTCTCGCCGAGTAATGCAGCGAATCCGAGAAGAACAGCTTGTAACTGCTTATCAGATTGCGTTAATTTTTCTTCATTCTCACAACCCAAATATCTCAATGCTTCACGATAGTATCCTGCATAATTTCCAATCTCTTTCAAATATATCGATGATACCTGCAGAATTAAAACCACGTCAAATCCACTGCTGTATCAATCAATCAAGCAATTTAATTGTAATAAATAGAAGTAACCTTATAGAACGGTGCGTGTACAGCAGTGACTCCAGTCAATTCATCCAATTTCGATTGTGTATCTTCAACCATCTCCTAAATAGATTCAAAACGAATCAATACATGCAATAGTGATAACGAGAGCAATATAATATAATAATAATCGCAATGACAATACTAGCAATGAAAAACGAACTCGGACAAGTTGAATGTCAACACAACGCTCAGCACTGTCTTTATGCAACAATCTTAATTCGATCTGTCCACTGCGCACTCGAATTACAGCTTGTTTGTCTTTGGATACGATCTTTTCGATTTTGTTCAGATATTCGTATGCAGCTTCTTTATCTGATCAAATCACATCAAAATAATTAGTGGATTATCGATAAAGACGGCTAGAGAAGTAATACCTTTGATAAAGATGCATTTGGCAATTGGCATAACAATCTCTACCAGATGAAGCGGATTTATACGATGTTCGAATTCTTTTATGAAGTTATCATACAACTGCTGCATGTCGTCGTCGTGGTGCATTGAGCTTAGGAACGTTTCGTTTTCCATTTCTTTCTTCAACTCCATCGTTAATTGATGCCATAATCTGCAAATCGCTTTACTAAGCACACTTCACTTCGGTTAATCAATCTCTTAGCTCATCAATAATAAACGTACTTTTTCGAATAGAGGTTTTCGAATCTTTGCCAAATGTCGGCCACTTCTGCACATGCGCTGCTTTTTTTCTTTGCCAAATAGCGCTCCACCTTTTCAGACATTCTTATATGTAGCACTTAATTATGATTACACATAATTAATACTATGTAATATAACTTTGACGGCACTTTTTTATAGATCGCTCGATGCTACAACAGAGGCTAGCAAGCGAGCTCAGGCTTAGGCTGAGACTACGCTTGGGCTGAAGCCATGCGCAGTAGGCGTGGCATGCGCGAGCGTAGTTGCGTGCGGCCCCCCCCCCAAAAAAAAATGCCACTTTGACAAAATACAGATAACATCACCATTGTGTGTGCAATTCAAATGAATACAATCCAAAGCAAGCAATATGCATCGAACGAAAGCGAATATTTATTTTTGTTTCAAATAAGTAGTGCAATAATAACAACAATAATAGTAGTAATAATCATAAAACGAGTAATAATAAGAACAATAATTGTCATGAATATAATATCATCAGCCTCGGTGAATTCGTCGGATCTACGACAAGTGAACCCGCGACAGTTGGCGCCTTGTCAGTCGATTACACAAAGTTCGTTTCGGTTCGATACCTAAGCAGTCCGAACGCCACCGAATGCTCGAATCGAAGTAAAGTTTGGTACGGCGTCAATCGTCGCGCATCCAATTATCAGTCACCAATTCGTCATTGATGCGAGGGCGTAGCCTGGCAACTTTTCACTAATAACAACGAATACGCCAACTTCACACACACACCAAACCCCTCCCACACATCGTTGGCAAAGTTACCCGATGATGCATATATTAGTTGAAGCAAATAAAAAAAAAGAAGATTAGATTCCAACCTACCTACCACTTCCATATGAAAGATGGGGATGAATTCAAAATGGATGGGTGATAAATAAAGCTTATTAATTTAATTTGTTCGAGCTTGGGTATACATAAGAAATAACATGATTCAACAATAACATTGCCATCAGAAATAGTGCCATCAGGACAAGATAACATCCCTTAGCTCGTCAACCAGAGCGTATATCATTTGTTGATCACCACTCCGACCATCCAATTGAACTTGATTATTACTCTATGATAATAATAATTATTATTAGATAACCCTATACTGTTAATAAATATTTTGCAGTAATCAGTTAGATAATAAGTATATTAGATAATCTACACTACTATATTCGATAACTGTGCTAATAAATAATAACCTGCTGCTTGACTATAACACAGACTGGCTCGGCTTTGATGGTGTGAGCGTACAGCGACACACAACAATCGTGCTCTTCAACCACTAAATTATCCTTCATTTTTATTACTATAACAGTAGCACAAAAAGTAGTAGACAATAATGACAGTTGATATGATAATAACAATAAAACAAACCGCTGAAATGAGCACACGAAATGATTTTACTGAGTAAATGTTTCCATCTCAGATCAATTTCAAACTGAATCGACGACTTGAAATCAACATCACCCGAAGTTATTAGCACTTCAAAAGCATCACTGAAGATGAATTTTATTACAAATATTATAACGGTGCACTTTATGCTCTACCAACTAATTCCTTCAAAACCTTCACAATGATGTCAATCAGAATAAGTATTTTAATAAATAACCATCCAATAGTTGCTGGCATTAGGAATGTTAGCGTCGGTAAATTTATTTTAAAATCCAACTTGTCCTCGGATGTTTCCTCGTCATTCTTCTGCAACAGTACTTCGGTTGTATATTCAGGTGAATAATAATAATAAATGAAAAGCAATAAACAATGAAAAGTAATGAATAATAAACAATGAAAAGTAATAAATAAAAACCTGAACAAAGAACGTGACAGTCCCCTTGAGTTTTTGAGGAGTACTTATGGTATTAATGATGAATCTGAACGCATATTCACCCTCTTCATTCGCACTATTCAATTCGAATGGCATTCTAATCGGTCTCTATATATCATTATTGTTATCAACAAAACAAGCATAATAATAATATGAAATAAACGTCATGATAACGATAACAATAATAACAAATTTAAAAAAAATAACCAGAGATGTGAGATTGTTATCATTTGCGTTGCGCACGAACCGTATGTTCGGAGTGTCAATGAAATTCATTTGTATATTTCTGATCTTATAATCATTATTATTAATAAATTTTATCGTTATAGTTAGTTGACTGGAGTCAACTCGGTCCACATGACAATAATACATCTGAAATTATCAATTTAATAGCTAAAATAAGTGATAATATCTGAAATTAATAAGTGATAATATCAAACAATATGCATATATACCAGTTTTAAGAAGAGGTTATCAGCGACGAATTTGAAGTGCTGCTGCTGCTGATGATGACGAATGAGCGAGTTGTTGTTGTGCTCACTACCCGATGAGTGCAGTGATAGTAATAAGTGATTATTATCTTCAGAGAACACATCCACGGCTGCATGATGATAACTTGGTGTACAAACGCCTGACGTTGCCTTAAACTCTTCTCCATCCAAGCACAGTGTATTCAAAATGTACACTGCACTCTTCCTTGATCAACAACTTGCCCCTTCTTTATCGGAGCTGGTAAGGTAAGTTGAGCGCGCACAGGAGAGTGTGCAGTGACGTAGCAAAGTACCTGATGTTTCTCACCGACGGCATTTACCGATGTTTCGAACAAATATTATCAGGTTAAATCATGTGGTGCTCATCTATATGCATCATAGTATGAAACTGACTATTGCCTTCAATAATAATCTATTGTATATAAATGGAGAAATGGCCTGCCTACCTCATAAACGTCTTTATCGATCGGTGCATCAACATTAGCGTGTGCGTCATTTGACCGTCTTGAACTTTGTTTCGACACAGTTTCTTTTGATTTTTTAGCTGATTTCTTAAATTATCAATTTTCTAAGTTCAATTGATTCGTTCATTATTCTTGCTGCCATTGGCTTGGTTTGCAAAATATCTATCAAGTAAGCGTATCGTAATTCGATATCAATAAACTGAAACCTTTTTAGGAGGTTGTTGATCGAATACACCGTTATTGCCGCTTATCAAATTGACTTCATCCTTTTTACTTTTCACCTTTTTAATTCTTTTTTCCTCACCCCTTCAATATTCATTGTTTCAAATTAATACCATCATTATCATTATTATTAATTAAACACTATCATTGCAGATATCTCCCACAAACTTAATTCAGCTCCAGCATAATTTGAACAATCACAGAACAAAGTGCATAATAAAAATAAACTAACTTTTCGCGTTTTTCTCTTTTGATTTTGGTTTTTCTAGTATTCGATGAACGCTTTTTAAAAGATTTATCACCAATATTTTGTTCCTTATTGATACTATTTAATTTTTTATTATTAATGCCGATCGAATCGTTCAAATCAACATCCAACGCCTTATAAACTGCATTCATTTCATCCTCAAAAGTTATTATCGTTATTCTAAAAATTGTTCATTTGATACTTCACTTTTCTCCTGTACAACATTGCATGATATACATCAACAATAAAAACTAACATTAATGTCCGAGTTCGTTTCATCATCAGTCGACTTTGCATTTTCAGGCATATCGCCTTCACTACGGTTCACCTATAATTCAATTATATTCAAATATTTGTTACCAATGATGTAGCCAGGATTTTTGATGGGGCACAGGGGAGCGCGCACCTTTTGCGTCCTCTTCCCTTGGCTACGCCACCGTTTGCTAATGTATTCACAATACAATAACAAATAAACCTGATGAATTATTGGAATGTCATCATCATCACTCGAACTGATTACTTCCTTTTTAGATTTCAACTTTTTATTTTTATCTTTTTTCGCTGATTTCCAACTCAAAGTTGACTGTTGTTGTTGCATATAACGATCCAATCCAACCACACCTGTAGTATTTATTTGTTATTAATCCACTTATTGCACTCCATTAATAGTAATAATAATAAATAATTCAAATAACCAGGAATCTCAAGTGGACTCTGCAGATCGAGTGAAGGATGATTATAATTGTGCATACTGGTGACATTCTTGGATGGTTTCTTGATATCATTCGATTTGTTATTACTAATGATCAATAGTTCATTGACTTTTTTGTTGTTATCACTGATTATCACCTTATTCTTGTCAATACTCTTCATATAATATGGATTATTCTCGATTTCATACTGCCGTTGTTTTATTCTCTTAATTAATATTTATTAATTATTATGCCATTTGAAATTGTGCGGGTTGGTTACTCTCACGAAACGAATAGTGCTTTGTGGGCGGGGCTTGGCGTCCCTCCAACAATAGTTGCGAACTAAGACACTAGTCTCCGCCCACACACTGCCAATTCAGTTCATTGGGAGATCGAGCAACAAACAATGAATAATAATAATAATCATAATAATATGATAACCATTTGCATTTGATGTTGATCCACACCTTTGTCATACTTAACTTCGTCTCGATAACTATGATCATCCTCGCATGAAATATTTGGTTTAAAGTGTTCCTCTTCTTCCTCTCCATACACTGATTCCACTTCTGATTCTTCATTTATAACATCATCCAGATTAAGCCTTCAATTTATTCATTGAAATTATATTCATTCAATAATAGGCATAACAATAATGATGAATAAAACGAATCAACGAACCCTTCAGGAACCGGAACTTTTCGTTGCGCCTTAACGGCAACAGGATTCAGTTCACCATCGAACAATCTCGAATAGTCCTCTGATACTTTTTCTTTTTTAGAATGCATTTCTTCAATTATTGTTATCAACGCCATCAATGTACATGCCTGCATATTTATCTTATTAAATACAACTGTTATTATTATGCATTTGACGTGATCATAAATGCATGAATGCAATCGGTTAAAAGCATTTGCGTAAAAAGTGCTGGATGGTAAAAGGAGGGGGAGGGGGTTGGTGGTATTTAAGCATACTCTTTATTAAAGCAAGAACATTGTCATTGCAAAGTGGTAAGTACAGAAATAATAACTAACCCGCTCTTGAGCTTCTAAATGATCCGAGAGTTGAAACTCAGGTAGTTTGGAGAGTAAGAGATTGTCAATGGATTCGATTCCTTCCCACTCATTATCCATTTCGTATTTGGTAATAATCACCGAATACAATTTGGATATATTCTGAATATAAACGCTCAGGATGTGGCCTGGCATGCCCGAGATTTTCGTCTTTAACATTGATTCCAGCACGCTTTGAATATTACATACATGTCTGAATATTCATTCATTCATACATGGGCAACTTACATGTACAACAGGCGCATTGGGCAAAATGCGATGGAGAGTAGCCAAAAACCTCTCGCCAGATCAATAATCAAAGTTAAAGAAGGCAGATGAATAAATAAAACAGCAGGCCAATAATTAAACATGCCAATAAACACACTTACTCAGCATATTCTCCACAAATCCAAGCTGCAGCAGAGAGCACTTCGGAGATGTTGAAACGGTGCTCGGCACTGCCACACAACAGCAAATTTGCATTCTCGATCAGTAGCGACATTTGTGACACGGAATAATGTCGAATCGACTCTACACGCACAGTTACATCTTGCATCTTAATTATATTACCTTTATATTATTATTAATACCATTACTACTATCATTAATTATTACACGTAACATGCATACCTGTTCAGCGATCATTGCGCCATGCTTTGATCCTTCCACTTTTGTTAATTCAACCAACACAGATATATACCTATAAACAATATATTATACATATCAAGAACAAAAACAATATAGAAGTAGAATTGCACCATTCGAAGTTGGTGATATACTGGTAGTTATTGTATGAGCAGATTGAGATGATCCTGGCCAGCAATTCGTCCCGATAATAGGATCCTTCTGAGCGGTCCACGTGCTCCATCAACTTACGAATGATCTCCATTATGTTCTTCTTTGATACCATACCATACAACAGATCCAATGCTCTGCAGCAATTTCATATACACCTATCTATCACTTGCAGTATTTCACAATATACACTTTCTAAATAATAACCTTAATCGAATACTTTCATCTCGATCGTCCAAACACCGTAGCACAATATCTTTATGTGCTTGCACTGCCTTTGGATGTGTCTTCAGAATTTTACCCATGGCCAACAACCCAAGATATTTCAAATTCTGATCCGAGTCCTCTATTAAAACACCCAATTTTTGAACACACAACTGCAACAATTTCCTTATATGAACGAACGAACATGAACTGTGCATCGTATTGGCATATAATATAATCATATAATGCCGGCAATAAAATAACAAATATCTTTTCAAAAATTATACATTTCAAAGAAGGCATAAAACAAAAGTAGTAAAAACGAGTATACTTACTTGTATGCTAGCAGTATGATCTCCGGGAGCATCTGATGAAACACTGATCAATACTAAATAATAACAAATAACATTAGAATAATATACAACACTGTCATCTATTAAAACACTAACAATTATGCAATAAAACGAAAATAAAATTTGCAGTAAAATAATCTATTTATCAGAATTAAGTTCGATTGAAGAATATTTGGAAGGCATTCGACATCAGTATTCGACATTCACGACCACAATTATTACTATCATTGTTCAAATTATTACGAAAAAATAACTGAATGAAATAAACAATCAAAAATAACCAGCAATAACTGTATTGATACATTCATACAGCAGCGACATTGCAGATGTACTGAAATATTTAATTTTTCATTAACAATACATTCACATTTTTGTTAAATGACTATTCAATAAAGATAATAATACTAAATAGTAATAATAAATTACAGCAATAAATGATACCTATTAATGAGATTCGTTAACGGCTCAAGAAGCTTTTTACCTAAGCGTGGTTCAAGAGGAACTAATGCACCAAACTGAAATTATATATGATAATAATAACAATAATAATATAAAAGTTTATACTGCTAAATATAAATAGGAGTGATCATCAAATAATGATAATAATAACAATAATAATAATGATAATAATAATAATACCAATTTGATGATCTTAATCAACATCCAATTGTTTGAAGAGGCAGTCATCAACTTGAAAAATACTGGTGCTAATGTCACGTAATTCTTTGGATTTTTACGAGCCAACTCACATATTACATTCACGGCTGCACTTTGAACACCTTAAAGCGAACACAGAATCATCATCATCACTCGATCATATAATACAACCTTTCAACAACTATTCAGAAAAATCATTTACCTGGATCGGAATCTTCCAGTCGTTCTTTCAAACGCACAAAAGTTGGCTTCAATGAGTCTGGATATTTCAAAAAAATTTTGTACAATAAGAGAACAGCACGTTTGCGTATGTATGGACGGCTAGAACATAACTGAAAATAGGAAACAAATAAACAAATAAGATTAAGTGAACGCAACCCGACCGCACAGTCTTTAAAATACAGCTACCCTTCTACAGTAAACTGCAACGCAATTCTTTATGTTAACAGTGCTAGGGTCACACAGTAAAGGCAGAAAAGCATCCGGTACAATCAACATGATACTGATGAACCGAGGGATGCTGTTTATTAAAAATCGTAATAAAAGAAAAACAAATATTACAAGATTAATGATATCGTTGCAGAGATCACGAGCCAAGTCAACAGTGACAAAACATGAAAGTGCATTCAGAGTAACTGAGATGTCGTAAATATTCGCTGAATGAAGGTCTTTTCGAATCATATTCGTTGTCAGCATTAACACGTCGGTGCTCTCGTTGAAGCACTGTGATCCACTCAAATACCTTCAATAATTTATTATTATCACCATTATTACAAATGTTACTAATTTAAAAAATAGAGCAATAATAATAATGATATCAACGATGAGTACCCGATTCGTTTTTCAGTGTATTTCGTTGACGCCATCACTTCAATGATGTTGAACGAAGCCCATGATATATCATAGCCCAGCATTTGCAACTTTAATTACTATTATTATTATTATTATTGTTATTATTATTATTATTACTAATTTACACATTTAAATGTAATCATACACTGATATTCTGAATCATATGATAGCATTGGAATGTTCAATTAAACGTCAACTTCGTTTCAACGTTTTCGTTACAAAGGTAATGTTTATCAATGTGCGATAATAACAGTAATGTTAATAATAACAAATATAACGAACGTAAACAAGCTTCTCGATAGCATTTGCCTTCACGTACGTTGATTCCTGTCGCAACTCCATTTTTATTTCTTCGATACATGATGAGATGTAACGTGCCTTAATTGATAACATGTCATCAGTCTTTCATGTTCTATATTCGATTAAATATTATTTAATTACTAATCAATCAATTATCAAAGTTCTCTTTACAGTCACTGAATAACACCGCATCAATTTTACCCGCATACTTGCCAACATAATCCACAATAAATCCAGACATAATTGATACAAATGAAACGATACTCGTGTAAGTGACTGTGAATTTCTTACTCAAAGTCAATGATTAAGATTCATTCCGTCAGATTATCATTACACAATAATAATAATAAGATGTTTACTAGCTGAATGAATCTGATCAAGCAAACAAAAACAGTAAACGTAATGAATCAAACCTCATTATCTTTGTTATTTCTGATTCCTCTGATGAGATCAGTTAAACTTTTATCGAATAAACGGTCGATATTACTTCGCACTTTCCGTAATGCCATCCTACCTTACAATAATAATTTTTTTATAATATCACTCACTGTCGTTATTTAGATCTTAAATCAAAATTACTACATGCATTAATCAGCAAATTAAATATACTGTAAACAAACAATTGATAATAACTAAATATTCTGGTTAGAGTCACAAATATTTATTTATATACACACAATCCTTGTTGGTAGATATACTTCTGATGAAATTGATCAATATATTTGCTGTTCAGTTGTTACACTTGGATACTTTGAATTGCGTTCCAGTTCGCAGTAATTAAACTTCGGAGATGGACAATTTTACCCCCAGCAAGCGGGCCCGCGATAGTTCGCCCCGTATAGTCGGGCACCCAAACTTCGCTTCGGTTCGCACTTCTCAAGTATCGAACTTTATGTATCCGACTAGCACGGGGCCAGTTGTCAGGGTACAATTATTGTAGACCCCTATACGTTTACGAACTTTCTTTTCTTCTTCTTCTCAGGATCCGACCATTCAAAATGTCGTTCGTTCATTTGCCACTGTAAAGCGCCTCCGGTCGCATTGAACACATGAATCGAATCAATACAGGACAGACAATGTTGTCAGTACAATACCCATTTCGTTGTTGTTGTAACTTTTATCATGAATGATGCATGCGCGCACAGTAGTGTTACAAATTATAAACGAGTATTATTTAGTAACAACGACAAGTAGACTTTATCAATTGCGGATAATCCCGCAGTATAGGTAAAGGAGAAAGGGAATGTGGCCTAACGCACACAGAATACGCGTCAGCCAGCGCATGCACGAAGTCGTAGCGATACACCCTCCTTACACCCAACCCCGAACCAACTACACCGAGCACGCAGAATAATATCCGTAGAAATGAATTCAGTTAGTTCAGTTGATAACCTCGTCATTCACACAACCAACGCGTACAACTCCACTAAACCCACTCATCCAACCCCGAACCAACCACACCGTGCTGAGCCCAATCACTCAAATGATTTCCATTCCATTTTCGTGCTCTCATTAAATTCGCTCGTCTCGCTGGTACGAGCGCGCATACGCGCCAGCTCTAGTTTGATCTACTTATCGATCAAAAAAAAAATCAATACGATCAAATCAACTCTCATTCAGATGAACAACTAAAACTTGATCAACTGATGAAAATGGCCCACGATCAGCAGATCAATGTTCTTCATATCCCTTTCCCCCTGACCTAAACTGCTGGATTACCCAAATGCGTTTTCGTATTGTACACCCGAACTGTTTTCGCAGTTGTAATGCATTTAATGAAACGAATTAGTTGTTTTGAGTAAAGACGACCCTTAATTCTCTCTGAATAATGAAATTTTAAACTGCAACGATGATAACAATAATAATATTTTGAGGAATAAAATAGAAATGTGTTCTGGACGTGTGATCGTATACGGTGGCAGAGGTGCTCTTGGATCGTCAATTATTAAATACTTTAAAAACAAAGGCTATGTTAGTAGTGTAATTTATTTACATGAAAAGATTTCTCATTAAAATAGATAACAATAATAAAATGAATATTTACAGTGGATAGCGAATATAGATATGTATGAGAATGAGGAGGCAAATATGAATGTTACTGTACCAAAAGATCTCAGTTGGAAACAACAGGAGGATCATATTATAGGATCGTAAGTTTCGGGAGTATTGATGTTGGTATGATAACAAGTAATATCGCTTATCTTAAGATTGAAACCAGTTCTATCCAACCAATCAATAGATGCGTTGTTGTGTGTGGCTGGTGGATGGGCAGGGGGAGATGTATCAAATGAGGCTCTCATTAATAGTTGCGATGCAATGTTGCAACAGTCTCTTTATCCGTCAGTCATATCCGCCAGACTCGCCCACTTATTCCTCAAAAACAACGCATTGCTACAATTCACTGGAGCTAAAGCGGTGAATACTTATGTCGTATTCAAGATTAAGATTTTATTTATGTTCTATCAGCTCAGCTGTATAAATGATCATCATTAAAGGCTTTAAACGGAACACCAACTATGCTTGGTTATGGACTAGCAAAGGCGTCAATACATCATCTCGTTAAGTCGCTTTCTGTGCAGCAATCTCCTCTTCATAAAATGAATATCTGTTGTGTGGCACTTTTACCTGACATCCTTGATACTCCATCTAATCGCAAATTCATTAAAAATGCTGATTTTACTACGTTAGTTTTATTGTTTATT